AGAGAATGCTTTTTTTAAGATGGTAGATATATATGCATCACCAGAGGCCATCTAAAAAGAAGTATTCTTTTTGCCCATCTAGTGTTTTATTTGCATGCAAATTTAACTTTTTGTACTCTTCTTTAATTAAGATCTTTCAATCAGCTTATAGCTTTATGTTTTATCACTCACAGGATGATAAAAACAATGGTACCCAAGGCAGGATACATGGACAAATATTGCCTTTATGATATTCTGCTACAGATTTTCTATCAGTTGTCTGGAGATGGGAAATCATAGCATATAAACAGATTCAAATGGAGCTTTGATTAATCTCAAGCAATTCCTTTCTCAACTGATCTTGATGTATACATCTTTTTATAGGAAAGGCTATTAGGTGATATGAAAGCTCTCAAATTACAGTGACCTACCACTAAATTATTGCAAAGTGTCACAGATAATATGTTCAAGATATCACTAATTCTTCATGTATAAACAGCATCATGAAAATATTGATGTATTCCAAAATTCATCTGTAGAGCAATCTTATACTTAGAGCATTCACACACCCAACACTCTACGGGCAGGGAAAAAGCAGTATTTACTATCCTTTCTGATTTTTATTTTAGGCCAACGTCAGCAACAAAGATGCATTCTATCCTGTTTAGAAGCAAGGTTGTGAATGGGAATGCTTAGGGATTTTTGGGGTCCACAGGCCTTCCTGCACAGCTGCCCAACTTAAATAGGTCCTATTCTATTTAGCCTGTTCTCAGAATTTTCCAACATTGGAAGGAACGAAACAGGTAGGCAGGCGGGTGGTGGAAGAATGTGAACTACTTTCTCTGAGCTTAGAGGACTTCCTCATCTGAAACAGAGATTCTTCTGCATTAAATTACATTTCAATTTCTCATACCAAACAACTGCACAATACAAGACCTCCCTATACACACACCACTCAAAATCTCATAGAAAGAATAGGGCATCATTCAGAGCGAGAATAGTTCCCCTGTACGAACAGACATTTTTTAATCACCTTCATTCTCTTTGAAAAATACTTAAGTTTTATTTCCAAACACACAGTATTCAAGCATGATGAGCACAGAAAGTATGAGGTAACTTACATTTTTTTCTAGAGCTTCTCGAGATGGGAAATCAATTTCTAAAAGGTCTTTTAAATTTTTCAATAAACTATTTTCTGGATCCCTAAAAAAGGAGGAAATACTATTATAAATACTTCAATAAAATTATGAACCAA